GGATATAGGCTGGGACCGCATAAGCTGTAAATGTTGACATGCGCCAAACTAATTGACTATTATGAGAAAACAAGTATAGCTGAGGCATCAGTCATTCTAATAATAATACTGATGCTCTTCAAACATGACTCAACCTCTGACGGAAGCACCAAACTCTTCCGAAGGTTCGAAACAGATCTAGCAGACCACTGTTATAGTCTTCATGCAGTCATTGTTCACTGTGGTTCTGGCATTGAATCTGATTATTATTATGCATTGATCAAAGACGAAACGGGCTGGTTTAAGTTTGACGATAGGAGTATCACTAACTGTTCTGGCGATGTGTTGAATCTATTGAAGCCTCTGGAGACACCCTACATTTTGTTTTATGAGAGAGAGGATGGCAGATCAAGATCTTCAGATGATGTGGTGCTGCAGGTTTCTCCGGGTTTTCCTGCAGCTGAAAAAGCAAATGCGCCACTGGAACCAATGAACACCCCGGAGCGCCAATAATTTTTTTTTGTTGTTTCATAATTCCATGATTTGTATCACTTTCGACTCTATTGAAATTGTTCTAAAGGTGAACAGTTGTATATGGTGTATATTTGATGTAAAAACATAATTTGAAAATATCAGTTTTAAACTTTGGTCGCATTAGTGTACCTCTGATATCAAAAATTGTGATTTAAATGCAAGTAGGGGGGTTTTTTGGTAATAATAATTTTGTGGAAACAACAAGAAGCATGAAAAAGTCTTCTCTTCTCCATATTCATCTGTGTGAACAAGTTCATTTATGTATTCTTCGTATCTTAAATTACAGTCTATCTCCACACCAATTTTTTCTCTGTGTTCTACAAGAGCTAATTGATCACAATCAATATTAATTTGTCACCTTGAAGAAACGCTAAATTGTTTTCAGATCCAATAACATTATAGTATCTTTGAAGGTGATTGACAATGCTTCATGATGAATTTCACTAGTTCGGACTTCCATTGTCTAATATATAAAATGATTTGAAATCCCTGAAACAACTAAAAAAGAGGAATTAAAAAAAAATGCTGAAAATAACAATTATATTGAGCAAAAAAAACTTAAATGAAATAATAGTGAAATAAAATACAAGTAAAATAGAACAATTCAACGAAAATTAAAGTAAAGAAATAATGTTCGCATTGCCGAGCACAAGAAACACACACAGCGAGGGGAAACCAGCAAATCAAGAATAGCAGACCATGTTTGGACCCATCAACACAACATCGAGTGGTCCCAAGCTGAGATCATACACAGAGAGGAACATTGGTTTAGGAGAAACTTCAAGGAAGCTGCATGCATGCTGTCTAACAACGTATTCAGCCAAGCTAGCGTAGAGATACGCAACATATGGAAAAATTGCCAACTCCCGCCAAACGGTCATCTCCCACTGTACCAGTGAAGCGAAAAAATGGAAACTGGGGACAAGTGTTGAAACAATGTTGACACGAAACATTTTATCGAATAATCATTATTACATCGTCATAGTACACTTCGAATACAATAGCATTTCATTTTTCCATTTTTTGATATTCTCCGAAATAACAATTTCATTCGGAAAAAAAAACAGCATTTATGGTTTTCCCCGTATAACTCGAGAAGGGCGAGAGTCCTCGTGAATTTTATTTGAATATTGTATTATTTTCTATGACAGTTAGTTATCTTCTTTCCCATTTAATCATCTTCGTATATGTTATGGTTTGGAATATAGCAATGTTACCACATGATAAAAGAAACGGACTGTCTATATTGCATATTATGTATTGTTACCTCTGATTATGTTTCCAAAGATCAGTTTAGTTTTTAGTATGGGTGTTAGTCTGGTTTTATATTTTTGAATTATTCGTGTTTATACAGTATGTCTCACTTCTCATGGAAACCACCTACCACCTGAATGGGGTTGGCCAAAGTGATATACACTGTCCGCCTCTCGCGATGGAACACCCCATTTTTAGGTAAAACATATTACAGTGCAAAATAGTTCGCTTCCAATACCTGAACCCCTTCATTCTATCTGGAGAGTACTCTGAGGTATGAAATATACAGATGCTGTGAGATGCTATCATCCATTTTGAGCCTATCTGAGGAAAATGTCACAGCACCACATTCTCAGATTATCGAGATAGTGTGAAGCAGTGTATGAAAAATTATCGATGGCGGCATCTATTATAACTGAAGAAGATTATTCGAAAAACTAATTCTAGTTACTGAACATCCACATTCTATCCCAACCAGAAGTGAGCTCTCGATTGACGAGCAAAAACTGCAAAAAATGGAAAAAATCCATATTCAAAGGTTCACACTTGAAAACTGTACAATTCTGAGCTTTGGCTGTGAACACTTTCAATCAGCACATCGAAAACTACAACATATCAAAATTTCGGCAAAATTCAAGGCAAGCCATTTCTCATAAGAAATGTGCGGGGTTCTGTATCAAAATATTGAGGAAACATTTTACCATCCGAAACAAAATTAATCTTCATACTCATTGCAACACCGAAACAACTGTTAATTTTTAAAGAAAAAATCGCACTCGGTGAACAGGTAGAATTTAGATTATTTTACCTATTTGCTGAATTGTTGTCTGAAATCATTTGAAGGGATTGAATTACATCAGTTTCATTGAATCATGCGGTGCCCTGAAATCACCATATAAAACAGTTGCTCATTGATATTTACTGTCAACCTGACAATATTGTTGAAAGATCTTGTTGTATTAACCCCCAGACCAGTTTTCATTGCATTTGTTGTTTCTAGTATTGTTGTTCTTTGAATCACCGTTGTTCCTGTTGTTTCTGCCGTGTTTTTGTTCCCATTGTGTTTATTGTTCCTGTATTTGTGTTGGATATTGTTCCTGTGTTCCAGTTGTTTTCTGTTCGTGAGTTCCTGTTCATATTTTAATATTCCTGAAGTTCCCATTTTAACTGACATCAGCTCATTTTGATTGACAAAGTTCAACATGGCACGTCTGTCACTTCAAGCAAAAATTGAAATTGTTTTCATTGTTGGTGAAGGGGTGAGGTCTTATCGTGAAGCGGCCGCTGAATTTAATAGAAGACACCCGCTAGAGGTAGCTGTACATCTTGGAACTGTACATAAAATATATAATCTATTCGTGATCACCGGCCAAGTAACAAAGGACAGAAAAATTATAAATTGTATCATCATATTGATGATGATACGATATTGGCGGCTCATCAAGCTGATCCTAGAATTAGTTTGAGAAACTTAACGCTTCAACTCAATATGAGCCGCAGTAAAATATGGAAGTGTTTAAAGAGGCATGAAATGCATGCGTTCAAACCCAAATTTTTACATACTTTGCACGAAGGAGATGAAATCCGCCGTATGGAGTATTGTTTATGGATGCAGGAAAATTATCTCAATGACAGGAATCTTTTGAAGTATATCTTATACAGTGATGGGACTACCTTTACCACGAATGGTGTTGTATCCCCCAGAACATGAGGTTTTTGGCTGAACAAAATCCAAATTGGGTGGTGAATTGTAGAGACCAAATATATCAGAAAGTTAATGTATGGTGTGGTATACTGAACGAAAATATTATCGGGCCATTTTTCTTCGATCAAAATTTCAACGGACGACTATTCGTTGATTTTCTCGAAAATGCATTTTCCGATGTGTTGGAAGAACTACCTTTGAATGTGAGACACAGCATGATTTTTCAGTTGCATGGTTCACCAGTTCACAATGATGGCATAACAAGGGTTTGGTTGAATAGGAATCTACCTATGAAATGGATAGGACCCAATAGCTCTCTCGTAGTATGGCCACCACGATCCCCAGATTTAACTCCACTGGATTTTTATTTATGGGGAAACTTGAAAAATAAAGTTTATAAGGATAGGCCAACAAATAGAGAAAATCTCTGTGCAAGAATTATACAAGCGTGTAGAGAAGTCACACCTAGAGAATTGAGAAAAGGAAATAATAGAAGTCGCATAGAAAAATGTGTTCGATTGGAGAAAAATTTTCATAGAAGGCACAAAAATATAAAATTGTCAACAGTTAAATTATTTGAAATTGATTGTTTTGTTTTTTAATTGAAAATGTGATTTTGAAAGTAGTACTTCGAAAGAATTTTGAACTACATAACATTTTTCGCCACAACATATCCTTATTTTTTTTTAAATAATGGGAAAATGAGGATATGAACTAACATTAACCATCCTAAAACCTCACTGATTACATGTTTCCGTTCCTCTTACAAAATTAACATTTTCTCTCTTATTGAGAAGGAATAATTTTTCTGACAACAAAATAAAAAATAAATTATTTATGTTTTGATGTCAAAACCAAAAAAAAATCTACTTCAATTATTACGGAAGATACGGGGGTGTTTCTATGAGAAGTGCAACAAATTCGGATTTTTCAGGACTGAAATTTTCTCAGGAAAAAAGTGTAATCGTAGGACAGTGTATATCACTTTGGCCAACACCATTCGGGTGGTAGGTGCATTTTGAGCATTAACATCAGTCCCGAGAGTTTCATCGTTTCACCTCGAATATTACGGAAGATACGGGGGTGTTTCCATAAGAAGTGAGACAAATTCGGATTTTTCAGGACTGAAAATTTTTCAGGAAAAAAGTGTAATCGTAGTGAATTGGTCGTCCTGATCACGAATCTGAAGGAATTTTGAGCCTATTTTGCCCCCTAATATGTTTTACCGTAAAAATATAGGTGCATTTTGAGCATTTCCATCAGTCCTGAGAGTTTCATCGTTCTACCTCGTACGGGGGTGTTTCCATGAGAAGTGAGACACACTGTATATGGTCCAATTTCTCAAATATTGTATCGTCATATTTTTCTGTAGCCATTATATGTCTTCATCGGCATTGTCACATTAGTGTTTTGAACTGAACTTATTTAAAAATGAGTTCCGTTCAAAGTTCGAGACGAAATAAAGCACTAATAATTATTTTTCTTAACATAACTCTTGGCTTATTTTTACTGTTCATAATTGTTTCAGACATTTGGACAACAATCACGTGAAAGCCCTTCCACCAGATATGTTTCCGGAAACAAGCAGATTAAATATATTGTAAGAGAGATTGCCAAGGAAAACTCACAAATCAGCTAATTCACATTTTTCGGTTTGCAGATCTTTGATGTATAATGACATCTCCAAAATCGATGCGAAAGCTTTCATGAATCTGGGATATCTGTATGAACTGTAAGTAAAAATACTCATCCGATTAAACAATGAATTCCAGAGTTAAATTGAATTGTTCGTATCGTTACGTTTTTTTTCCCGTGGATTTACCAATAATTGACTACATTGAACAATAATCAAACTCAATTTTATCTCACTCCAAATACAAAAAACACTTCAACTTATTGTCCTAACTTGCATGAAGCAACGTAAAACACTCCACCCTACCCCACCCGTCGGTAATATTTTGGAAGAAGGCGAGATAGATGAATCACTGCATTAGTTCCAGTAGAGTAACTTGGTTCTTCGTCTGGATTTCATAGTACCTATCATAGAGTAAACCAACTTACTTGTTTCTTGACTTGCAGAAGTATTGATTCCCCGGGAGTAACTGGTTTAGCTTTATTTATACAAAGGTGAATGAGAGGCAATAGTATAGTCTAGTTCACATGTACTTTTTTTTTGTAACATTTTTCAGCCCTGTCCAAAAATTACGGCCAACGTGTCATTCGATTCGTATGTTTGCCTAGAAAGTTTCAGGAAAGGTCCGAAAACGCGCCGATAAAAATTACAAAAGTTATAAACAATTAAGTGAAAAAAAGGGGGCTTTAGTTTTTTCTTAATATCTCGGAAAATTTTCAAAATTTTGGAAATTTGAAAAAAGATTTGAAAAGATCAATGAATTTGCGTAAAAAAAGTCCCGACTCCCGAAACTGTATCTCGATTATTTATAATTTTTACAGAGCCCTGAAAATAGAGCCAAAAGCGGGTAGTCTGG